AATAAGATTGCTGAGGCGGGGCCGCGTAGGTTCGTGCTGAAGCTGGAACAGCATAACTCAGTGGTGCAGGAGCGCCAGCTGGAACACCGTACTTAAAAGAGCCATCATTGTGTTCTTTCGCCTGCGGAGGAATAGACAAGACACGCTGTTCGGGCGCTGCATTGCCCAAAGAAAAACTAACGATGGGAACCGATCGGATAATCTCAATGCCACTGGACAGAAAACTCTTCTGTGGATGTTGGTACTGCTGCTCATGCTGCTGCGCAGGCGGCTGGTAGGACACGATTGCATTTTCACCAGAATAGCTGTGCGCGCTTGGCGGCAAATATTGATTACTGGATAAATGGCTGACATCGGCGTTAACTAATTGGCTTGCCAACAGCGTCGCAATGGAGAGTATGGCGTACAATTCCTACGGTGAAAAAAGTTTATTGCATTTAAAGGGCATTCTATGGTGAAAAAGTTGTAATGAATTAGTAACATGTTTGCAAGCGACAGAAAATAAAACAGAGTTACAAAACTTAGCTCATCACTAGACTGCGGATTTTTATGCAAAATACGGAGCCTAAAAATATGTACCACTTAACTATAAGCAAATCGTATAAATTTGTATACATTTTGTTTATAAAAATTTATACACTAGTACTTATTTTGAATAAAAATCCGCAGTCTGCTTATCACTGTTGCGATTTCTGGTGCGCCGCGAAATGTGTAACAAAAACCAGAAAAATTGTCTAAAACTTAAAAATTTGTGTTGTAGAGGCATATGTATCTGTTGCGGCGGCAAACTTTGAGGCGCAGTAGAAATCGCAGCAGTGATGAGCTAAGGTTTGTGACTGTTAGAATATGGATGTGAATTTTAAGAAAATGGTGATGATTTTTCGATTTTATAATATACATATATCTATTAAAAATGCATCTGCCAATTCTACTAACCATTTTTACTGAGCTGCCACTGCGTGGTTAACCCGTCGATTGAAATTTCTCAACTAACACCTCAACGTTGCGCCTCTTGGCCATTTATAGACATTACATCCCTTCATCGTCAGAGCTGTAGACCATCGAGTTATCGTTAAGCAATGTAAATTAATGAATATGCGTATGGGTAAAACAAATTCAGTGCCAAGCTCGCGAACTCTCATACTTGCTGCTTGTTTGTGGCATCTGCCTTGCAATATCAATGGCAAATATCAGCATTGGTTACACCAATAACAAGAAACGCATTTCGCTAAAGTTTCACACGATTTGCATTTGCATTTCAGTTTAGCTTAATCGGTTGATTAACAAGCTGCCAAGCGAACGCGGCTTCAAATCCAAAAACGTCTACTTCTCAGCAATAAACTTACGCAACGAATACGGTAGCCCCCGCTGCCCAAATCTAAACTGGCCCAAGCCAAAAAGCGATCAAACGCTGAGCTCTCAGCGAGTGTCGTTCATTTGCTCCCTAACGGCGATGTCAGCTCAATTCCATGCCCTCCAAATGGCAAAGCTGTGCAACGTATAAAAGGCAACAAAATTTAAATTGACCACTAACTATTACTATTTACTATTTGTTGTTCCCCAACAAACACTGGAACAAAAATTTTCAAACGTTTGAGAAAATCGTATTTCTCAATTTGATTTTTAGCATTGTTTATCATTTGAAACTAAACATTTTCTCAAATTTTTCTCAAACATTGTTTATCAATTTAGGAACGGCTCGAGAATAATTTGAGAAAAAAATTTTTTAGCATTCCGTTCCGTTCCATCGGTGTAGGCATGGTACAGATGTCGAAGTCCATCGGTAGTCCGCTACATCAGTCGTAAAACGGCTCTTCGACCACGCGGTCGCTGTATTCGCAATTTGTCTAATTTCTAGAAAAACTGTGCAACTAATTTTTTAACATCAACCGTATTTTTCTGCGTTAAACTAACTGAATAAATAAGCTATTAAATAAACTGTTGAACTGAATAAATAAAAATTCCTTTCCTATAAAAAATGTGTTTCTCTTACATGTATCATTGGGCACTATACCAATATTTCAATGAGAGTAACTGGATTTCCTTTCGTTCCGCTCCACTCACGTTTGAGAAAATGTTGAGAATTCAACATTTCTCAGTTTGAAAAGAAAGGAAAATTCCATATTAAAAAAGTGCCTTTTAGTTTGAGAACGCTATCAACGGTTATTTGAGATGCATTTGAGAACTAATGCTTGAGATTTGAGAAAAGGACTGATTCTCAAATGCATCTCAAATTCAGATTTAACAAAAATGTTTATTGGGTCGTGTTGTTGTCAGTTGATCTGTTTGTTTAAAAGTTGTATCACTTTATTAATGAATTTGTCGCTGTCCGTCGCTTCCTCTTACTTCACTGCATATGATTATTATTTTTAAATTTGTTTAATGTTTGTTTAGTGAAGGGAAGGTGCTATCTTAAATTGCACGAATATTAACTGACTCATATAAACACACTTAATCACTTTTAGACAAAAGGCCACTTAAATCATAAACCCAAAAGCAAACTCAAGCACGCCAATTCGTCGCCTGGGTAAAATATTGTCGTAAGCGTCATACGTACATGCGTAATATACGACAATCTTTTACCCAGGCGACGAGTTGTCGTTGCCACCGCTATATTCAGGGTAATTCAACAAGACCGCAGGTTTTCTTTAATAAATAAAGCCAGTGACCGGAAATTATCGTTAAATCCCAGGATTTTTACCGAATAATCGTAATTTTTTGTTTTTTATTGTTTCTATAAAGAATAACCGCTAAATTTGGATTTTTATATTGTTGACCAAATATAATCGTTATTTATAATGGAGGCTGCCTTTTTATGGCCCTTTTAAATCTTTTATGATCGAAAATATAAAAGCCAAAGGTAACGATTATTCTTGATCGAAAAAATAAAAATCATAAAATAGTTATTACATTTAAATAGAAATCCAATTCTAACGGTTAAATTATGAGTTTTATTATAAATATCATAAACGTTACGGTATGTACCTGATTAAAACACAACCAAATTTTTCGAGATGATTGGCTTTTAGTCTATAGGACATATGTATATGGGTCATTCCATACGATATTTACACCTCAATATTTCTTTTGGGTGAAATATATATTTTTACATTCTTTATCGAAAAAAAGAAAACACCTTTTTTATTTCGTCATGATATTCGAAAATCTCGAAAAAAATTCCCGAAATTTTGAAGTAACGGAGAAGTATCTTTTTTTAATTGTTTGCAGTTAATAAACTATTTGTCGGAGAAAATCAGTTAAGGTATCAAAATGTGCGTAATTACCTCGGCTTTCCAGGAGATAGATTAAAATAAAAAAAAAAATTGCATTAAAAAATCGCATTATTTATTTATTTTTTTTTAATTTTTTAATAACTTCATCATGTTTGATTTTTATTTTTTTCAACCTGAATAGTTATCGAACTATATGGAGTACGCTGTAAAAATTTGAGAATGGAAACACCAAAACTGTAGAAGTTACGAGTTTTTTCATACCTGCGTACATAACCTTTAGTATAAACTTGCATTGAATCACCCTATAAATAAATACATATGTACCTATTTAGCCGTAGTAAAGTACGAAAATGTTTGAAGCGCATACAATTATTAATTCTTTTTGTTTTAATGTTTTTCGTTTTAATCAAGTTTCATTTCAATTTCATGCCACTTTAGCAGTCGAATATTGCACACATAGATGCATGCTACAATCGGCACCATTGTCTGAGACCTAACTATAAATTAGCTATTAATAACCCAGTGGGAAAAAATAATGTATAGTAATCGAAAAAATAATCGGTAAAACAGCCGTTTTCACATTCGAAAATGCATTATTTTTCCCACGTCGATGACCTAGGAAAAGTGGGGCATTCATTTTTGCATTATCAGTAATGCAAAAATAAATGCGATTTAATATGAAATTTTTGTGTCTTTCTGGATACATTAGAATTCTGATTACATATTAAATATAAATAGAATCTGCAACTCATTAAAGATACATTAAATTATTTATCACGCATGTAATGCATTACCACTTTTCCCACTGGGAAGCTTACGATAAGAACAGATTTTCAACTAAGGTCAAGATTTCCTTTTTATTAGGAAAATTAATCTGAGCAGAAGTATTTGCTTAATTTTCTTTTGACCATTTATGTACTTTTCTGGGACTGCACATTTACGAACGCTCGACTTGTCAATTTTGACGAGAAATATTGCATTGAATATATGTATATTTTTGTTAATTATTTATTGGTTAGTATGCTGTATTATCGAGGTGGTCTCTCTGAGAAAAGAGAGCTAGAGGTATATTTGACTATCTGTGGACTACTCTGGGACTTTGTAAAAAGTCACGGCTTGTCAAAAAGGTAGACTGTAAGGTTTTGACTGGTGGGTCGCTGAAAAATGTCTCTATAAAATATAAGTGTACTATACGGTTTCCTTTTATATAAGGGTTATATAACCTTCATAGAAATATTAAAAAATATTTTAGTGAGACTGGTGGGAAAGGTCTATGAGTTCCTCAAAGTAATTGCATCCATACATATATGTGAAGTTAAAGTTTCCAAAGATAAAAATCATAGTTTTTTTTTTGTTTTTTTTTTAAAATTGTCCAGCCAGCGTAATAGTATTTGTATTCTATGCGATTAAGGGCCATTTTCTGAAGTAACCGTTAACTTTAAAGCTCACTTTATATTTAAAGGTTGGACTAAAAATAAAGCTATGTTTAAAGTTAAGCATTTCTATTATCGGACTTACATCGGATAAACACATATATTTCTTGGTTGTAAACCAATTTTAAACCGATAATAAAATGCTTTACTTTAGACACAATCATAAATCGGATGAACATAAATTTGTAGACTGACAAGGGCGCTCACGAACTTAGTGGAAGGCCTAAATGCAGCAGCATCTCTCTGTTGGTGCGAATAACGACGACATGTAACAACATCAACGGAAATAAGGCCAATTGACACTGTTTCGCATAATGGTGCGAAATAAAGTCAATTGACATTATGGCTAATTTGTGTTAAAGCTGTAGCAAACCGTATGTATTCGTTACTGAGTAACGAATACAATCCCTGACTCGAAGTACCAAATCGTTACTCACATAATAGTGAATCAATACAACATAACATATCGAGCCCTAACCGCCAAAATAACGTAAGCGAAATTTTTTTCAAAATTTTCTTTTTGATGCAGAAATATTCCTAGAGCATCCAGATGCAATTCTACATCAAAAAGAAAATTTTGAAAAAATTGTCGCTTACGTTATTTTGGCGGTTAGGGCTCGATATTGTGCGGGAACGAAACTGTTGTTTTAGCGATACTAAAGTGTGTTGCGTGTATATGTACGTACATGTATGCATATGTACCCTGCAGTGAAATCCCAAACTAGTCAGGAAAAATACTAGTTTAC